GGCAACCACATGTGGCCGCATTTAATGCGGCTGTTGGATGGGACGTGGTATAGGGCACGGCGATCTGTACGCATGTGGCACATATATCATGTCGGGCAGGGTGCCCTCGGCTGTAGAGGACTAGCCGAGGGCTCCGAGTACTGGGGACCCCCTTGGTGCTGAGGGCTCCAGGTGCCGAGGGCTACTGATTTTTGCCGTTTTTCCCAGTAACTTCGTTTTGCTGTCCTGGCCCTCCTGTGAGAGTCAGAGCCTTCGGCCAGGGGGCCGAAGGCACCCCTGGTGCGCATTTGTGGGCTGCTTGGTACTCTGGGGGCCGTGATTTGGGCCTATTGGGCCTTCTGGGCTTGTTGGGCCTTTACTGGAGTAGTAGGAGTCTGTGGGTCGGGGGTTCCCGGGCCATATACTCCATCAGTCTTGTTCTCAAAGCCGGGATGATTTGAAACGAATTATCAATTGAGAGATGCAGATGCAATGTCCGACGCGCAACTACAACAACTATTGGCCCAACAAGATGGTCGCTTTTACCAACAACATGACATCTCCGACATATAGGTAGAGCTCGAGGATGAGGAAGCGGAGGAGGATGATCCGGCGATGGCCGAGGATGAACAAGACAACTCTCAAAACCCGTACGATGACACCCACGATGAGGACAAGGCTGGTTCATCCCAACTCGGTAAGAAAGGTGAATCTTTCATGAAAAATAATTATAAAAAGTGGAAGGACCCGACAACCGAGAAGTGGTATACAACTTGCAAGCATTGTAAGAAAGATATTAGCTTGGGGATTTCACAAGGATACGGCGCCGCCGATAGGCATATTAAGGCCCGTCACCCCGTGGAGTATGCAAAATTAAAAGGTAAGGGAAAGCAAACTCAAATATCGAGGTTTGCAACTGGCCAACCCTATGGTAATTTCTCCTATGATAATTTCAAACATTTAACTGCTATGTCTCACTTAATTGTTAAAGAAAATTTATCTTTTATGTTTTCTGAAAGTCTTGCTTTAAAAGTTATGTTCAAGGTTCTTTAAATCCCCAATTTAGAAATTATAGTCGCAAAACCATTAAAAAAGAAGTTATAAGGCAATATGTTTTGGAAAAAGAGAGATTACAAATGGTTTTCGCAAACTTTGATGGGCGTGTTAGTATTTGTAGTGATATATGAGAGGATACTCATCATCATTTGTATTATTTGGGTGTGACTGCACATTATATTGATGATGATTGGGAAATGCATAAACGTGGTATTGCTTTTCATGAATTTAATGACCAACACACCGCTGATAATATTTATATTCTCATTGAGCGTTTTTTGATTGAGCATAATTTGATGGATAAAGTGTTTTCTATGGGTTTTGATAATGCTAGTAATAATACTGCCGCTATACCTAGATTGCTTGAATTGTGTAGTTCCTCTACTTTGATGGGTAAGTTTTTTGATCAACGTTGTGCATGTCATATTCTCAATTTGTGTGTAAAAGAAGGCTAACCGCGTTACGATATGCTATGGAGATAGTGAAGGGAGGAATTAGACTTATTTGGTCTACTAGTCCACTAAAAATGCAATGACGTCAATATTTGAGGGATAGACGTGTGAAATACTGTCAATTTCCTAAAGATTTGTCTATTCGCTCGAATAGTACTTATAACTTAATTACTGTACTTGTTAGATTTAAAGACAATTTTCCTGCTTTTTTTTAAAAAAATATGCTAACTATATTATAAATCCGGCTAACATCGACACTATGAAAAAAATTGTCAATGTTTTGGTATATTTTAATAATGCAACTCAAACTTTAAGTCATGATTATAAACCTACCGCAAATCAATTTTATGTTGAAGCTGTTAATCTCGCTTGTGCTTTTTGTTAAATTTTCCGAAGCCCCTTACTTTCATCATTTTTGTTCTTTCATGAAAGAAAATCTTTTAAAATATTATTCACATATTCCGCATGTATATGATATTGCATTTATTCTTGATCCTCATTTCAAACTTAATGCTTTTCAAAATTGTTTGGAGTATTATTATGCTTCTTTTTTTGGTTCATTTCCTGTATACGAAGATAAGCCCATAGATCCTAAAGAGCAATACAACGAGGTTAGTAATTTATTTCATCAATTATATAATGAATTTGATGCACAATATGGTAACACACCCCCTCCCCTGACACAAACATCTTCTTCATCTAAAAGAAAATCCGTTTTGAAATCTACATTTGGCAATCTTATGATAAAAAGTAAAACAACTCCCGTTGTTGCAAAAAGCTCAGTTAACGAGTTTTCTGCATATCTAACATTTCCTGTTGACTATGAAGATGGGGATAGCTTTGACGTTCTGAAGTGGTGGAAGGACAAACAAAGAACGTTTCCGGATTTATCAAAGATTGCTAAGCAAGTGCTAGCAATGCCAGTATCAATAGTTGCCGTGGAACAAGAATTTAGTGCGGCTGACAACGTTCAAATGGATTAAAGAACACAATTGAGTGCAAAATCTCTTAGACGCGCTTGTTTGCTTCCACGATTGGTTGAAGGCCCAACACAGAACTCAAGAACTTAGCATTGCCCCCACCCGCCACTTTATAGAGGAAACAACAACCGACGGTTCCGGAGATTCTGACTGATTAATTATTAGGAAATGTATTTAATGCTTTAAATTTTTATCAATTCTCAATTGTAGTTCATATTTCAAATAAATATACTTTGATTTTTTATTGTCTTGCACTTCTTGAATTAATTTTTAAACTACTTTAAAAAAATAGAAATAATAATAGCCCGACCCGGCCTGACCCGACCCGAGACCTGGACGGATAGCCCGGCTCGGTTCATCCGTACCTAGTGATAACCAGTCAGGAATTTCTTGACCGGAGCGCCATTTGGCCTCCGTCTTTTGGGGCGGTTCCCGGTGGTTTTTTTTTTGCTGAAAGTTTTTGTGCATGTTCTTCATGAAGTCTAGTTTATTCATACCAACGTTCAGCTAAACATTCAATCAGGAAGGCCGTAAAATGATTTTTGAAAGATAACTACGCCAAAAAATACATATAAAGTACAATTATCTTCCAAAAATCATTTGACTACCTTCTCGGTTAAGTTTTTAGCTAAACTTTGGTGTGGATAAACTAGACTTGATGAACAATACCCAAAAAATATTTTAGCAACACATTACCACCTGAAACCGCCCCAAACGGCGAAAGTCGGACGGGGCTCTTGTCCAGACCAGTTGGACAAGAATATTCGTGTGTGTGTGTGTGTGTGTGTGTGTGTGTGTGTATAGGTTTTGGTTCAAATAAGAACATGATCTTAGGAGTGAAATGAGAACGAATCTGGACCGTTAGATTTGCTTTAAGTGAAATTCAATGTGCATTAGATGAAAGTGTAATGTGCATTTAGTGAAATTCAAATGTGCAACACAAAGCGTATCATACAATGTCATTAAGTGAAGCTGAATTGTGCACTAGGTGAAATTGAAATGTGCAGAATAAAAGGTACGATGAGATGTTATTTTTGTACATTTTATTCCGCACATTTCAGTTTCACCTAATGCACAATTGGGTTTAAATTTTTATTCTGCACATTTCAGTATCATGTAATACACATTTCAATTTCATCAAATACACATATACGTTCCACATAATACAATCCAATGGTCCAAATTCGTTCTTATTTCTCTCCTGGGAGTCCGTTCTTACCGGAACCACTCCACACACACACACACACACACACACACACACACACACACACACATATATATATATATATATATATATATATATATATATATATAGGGAAGAGTTCAAATGAAAAGTGGTCTTCCCGTGCAAAGTGCAAAATTTTCACTTTTTCATGTTTCGCTTACACTTTTTGTTGTTCGCATTGCACTTTTTGGCTATTTTGATTTTGGCCAAATTCGGCCAAAATGACGGTGGCAGTTTTGTAAATAAACCGATTTTTTTGAGCTATCGCGAAAAAGTGCAACGAAAGCAAGAAAAAGTGCAAGCGAAACATGAAAAAGTGTAAACTTTTCACTTTGTAGTTAAGACCTCTTTTTATTTGAACCATCCCCTATATATATATATATATATATATATATATATATATATATATATATATATATATATATATATATATATATATATATATATATATAGGGGATGGTTCAAATAAAAAGAGGTCTTAACTACAAAGTGAAAAGTTTACACTTTTTCATGTGTATATATATAGGGAGCGGATCAGGTGAGAAGTGCCCTTAGGCTGAGAACTGCGAAGCTAACTTATAGACTGAAAACAAAAACTTTTAATCAATAAATCATAACTTATAGACCCATCGAAATGATTACGAACATGCCACCACAAAAAAATAAGTCTGGAGACCTTAGAAATTTTTGGACGCGGTGACATTTCCATAATTACGATGGAGAGCTTTATAAGTTATTATTTATTGGGTATAAGTTTGTATATTCAGTCTATAAGTTTGCTGCGTTGTAAGATTAGATGCAAATCTAAAGACTGAGATTACTTCTCACTTCTCATTTTAAGGGGGGTTTCTCACCTGATCTTTTCTCTCTCTCTCTCTCTCTCTCTCTCTCTCTCTCTCTATATATATATATATATATATATATATATATATGTGTGTGTGTATGTATATATATATACCGGAACTGCTCCCTATATATATAGAATAAATGAGAACAATGCTTAACGTGAGAATGTGAGAACACAACATTTACCCCAACGTGTTGCACAACGAATCTTGTATATTGCACATTTTCACATTTTTACCAAAAATGACACCGTGTTTATTTAATATTGGTTCAATTCAAGCAAATTGAAAATGTTAAACAGAATAGCTCCATTGTGCACCACATTGATTTAAATGTGAGTGTTCTCATGTCTCACGTTAAACATCGTTTATTCTCACTAGAACCCCACCCTAGCATGTGTGTATGTGTGTGTATGGATGTATGTGTGTGTGTGTATGTACACATAAACATTATAGTGACTGACTTTGCTAAAGAGAATTACTCTCTTTTTTCATACTAGTATTGTTTTACGTACAAAATTATATACATATTGCCACCTCGTGACTTTATTTAATTAATTTTCCCTTAATTAGCCTCGCAATGGAGCCCAATACACACATTGGGACTTATTATAGGCTAATAATGGGTAACTGCATGCGGGCAGTTTTAATTTATTCTCTCATTATAATATTATTATTAAATATATATACTAGTAATTAATTAGAGATTTTGAAATCATGAATCTGAACATTCTTAAAGCCAAGCTTCTTGAAATTGCTGAGCTTCCGGGAGGCGTCAAACATCCCCCAATTATATGCTCTGTATCTGGCCGGGTTTTCGTCACTTATGAGTCCTTGTAATGGTTTCACCATCGTGTCGTGGCCTGGGTTAAAAAAGAAGGGAATGGAAAACCTTTCCTTTTCAGAGTTTACCACCACCCTATGCTCCACGCTCTCATATTTCTCATTAGCCCACACCTACATAATTCACATGACCCCACCACTTGTTTATGCATGTGTATATATATTTATATTTAGAACCAAATCAACAGTATTTCACTAGTTAACAGTAGAGAAACATTTCCATATTTGTTTTTAATAATTATAATTACATACATAGCATTATACTCATTAATTATGTCCCGAAATAGTTCACCAAATTGACTTTTCTAGATCAATGACAATCAACTTTGACCAAGAAAATTCAATATAACGAACCTTTTCGAAACGGGTCAAGGTAGTACTAGCTAGCTAGTACTATCGTATATAGTATTACATGGTAGTAAATATGTTACATGGTAACGTGGGCATAATGGGGATACGTCAAACGTGAATCGTCATCGATCTTTTAATAAGAAATCAACTCATTGGAGAGTTTTAAAAGATTTAAGTAGAGTTTTTGAAATGGAAGCATTTTGTAGATGAATCTTAGGGTGAATTTGAGTTTGAAGTCCATGTTTTGGTGATATTGGACTTTGGACTATACTTCAAAATCATTAATGTGATAACCCCATCAGTCCGGGCTAAAAATTATGAATGAATAGGGTGGAAAGTCAAATGATTTTATAGTTTAGTACATATATGATTTTGATAATGGGGTGTAACGGCTAATATTGTCCAAAATATAGGATTTAAAGTGAAATTCTCTTTAGTAATCAAGCAATATTTCTATTTATTAGCCATTTGGTAACTCGGTAACTCCTATGTATATTCTCCTTACGAGTCTTATCACTCAACTTTTCCATAGACGTGTAATTTTTTCTCAAATATTGAATTGATTAATGACCAAAATATGTAAGGTTGAAATTGCTTAATTCTCATATACCTTTTCTTTATCTGATTAATAAAATATACTACCTCCGTGCTCTTTTAATTGCAACATTGGACATTTTTCACTATTCACATGTTCTACTTTGACTATATTTTATTTATTGATGTATTATAAATTCAATTTGTAAAAAATATTTTTAATTTAAAATTTCAAAATCTGAATTTTTTAATTTTTTTACTAATAAGGAATGAAAGATAATAATGGTCAAACTTGTGTGTTGATAAACGTGAAAAGTTGACCATTGCAATTTTGAAATATAATCTAGCAAATTTCGCTAATTCAGTGGCCTCATCGGAAATTTCATCAATTTTAGGTAGTACGTAGTAACTACGTATTTTATTTTGGTTTCCTGATCGATTTGTTTGGTGTTAAGTTGTTAGTTGATTTGATAAATGGTGGTTAATGAATTTATTAATTAGTACCTGCATGAGGGATCCGAGATTAATGATGTAGGCATCCGGAATAGGTTTGACCCGAACCCATTGACCGTCTGATTTCCTCTTGACTTCAAGCCCGCCCACCTGGTCCTGATAGAGGATGGTTAAAGCCCCGCTGTCGGCATGGGGGCCCACCCCAAGAGCCAGGTCCGGAAAGGGGCACTGTGGGTAGTGGGTGAGCATCACGGTGGACGTCGTCGGTGTCTTGTAGAAGCCCTCGAACGTATGCGCCGGCAAGCCCAGGCTCACAGCAATAAGCCTCATCAGCTTGAACCCTAGCTTTTCCATTTCTTTCGAATATTCTTCGCATATTCTCCTGTTCAACCAAGCCCCACAAAACTTGAATCAATGAATACCTTAGTTAATTAATAATTAATTCGGCACTTAATTGTACCGGCCGGGATCTAGCTAGCTTGTTTCATTTCCCGTTTATTTTAAATTATACCGGCCACCACCGGATCTACGTACCTTATAAAACTTATATATCGTTGTTAAAAATAATTCTAATGTACAGTAAATATAATATATACACGGAGGATTTCATATATTCACTAAACACTTCATGCTGGCTATAATCATTTTCAATATTGATCTCAATTGTACTCTAATTAAGACTGTTTATTTAGACTCAAATTATTTATAAGAAATGAAAGATATTATTATTTGGACCACAAAGATGATAGTAATAGTAGTAATAATAATAAATAACAATATTAATAGTAGTATTTGAATTAATAGTAATCACTACTAAAAAATCTCGGTATCGGCAGGGATTTTTTCTCGAATAAATGCCCTGCCAAATTTGGCTCGACATTTGGCTCGGTTAACTAATATATATAAACCGTATGCATTTTGGCACGGACAAATCTGTGCCAAAAGTTTGCCTCGGAAACGCCGAGTCAAAACACGATCCAAAACCGGAAAAAAAAACCCAGAAATTTTTCCTTATCGAAAATTTGATCCAAATGGCGTTCCAACATGTTGAAATTATTTAAGAACGAATTTAGTATTAATACTAAATTCATTCTTAAATAATTTCAACATGTTGAATTTTACACTATTCACGTGCTCTACTTTGATTGCATTTAATTTATTAATGTTTGAAGAATTTAATTTTTGAAACAGATTGTAAAATTAAATTTGTCTCATGTTAAAGTTCCAAAATATGATTTTTTTTTGCTAATCGCGAATTGAATATTAATGGTCAAAAATGTGCTCTGGCAAATGTGAAAATTAAATGGAAGTTTTGCAACTAAAAAAATGGAGGAAGTACATTATTAACAAAACTGCAAACAAATATGCACAGATGTTTCTACCTAAAATGTTATTAAAATAAAACTATTGGATACTAATATGACTAGTTACTCTAGAAGTACTTTTATGATCGGTACAGCATAAACGTTGAACATAATCATAGATTCATAGTAGCAGCTAAAAGTGAGTAAGTCTTTTCTTTTATACTCCCTGTGTCCCAAAAACAACTTACCACTTTCCTTAAATGGATGTCTCAAAATTAACATCACACTTCTTCCCACTTCCTTATTTGGCAAATTATCTACATCAAAATAGTGCAAAACAATGCCAAACAGTGTCAAATAATGTTAAATAGTGTCTAAACAGTGTCCAAACAGTGCTCAAACAGTAAAATTTACCCTCAGTAAGTTTATTTCCTTAATATGTGTGGAAAACGAAGTGTGAAGTTGTTTTTGGGACGAAGGGAATAATCATTTAGGTCATATACGGAGTACTACGTATTAGGTATCATTTCACACACAGACACTATGTAAGTGGTTCAACTCAACTGATCGCCGACTCACTTTTCCATTTGACACTTCTTGTATTCGAAACTCCATGGAGACAATTTCAGCTCTATTTACCTCAAGCCCGTCACCGGATAGGTTGATCTAAAGACTATAGACACACGATGACATTTTGATTATAAATTGAAACTTTTTTTCAATGTAGCACTTTCAATGTTAATATGTAACGATTTATTTCATTGCAGAATAATATGCAACACCTTGAAGTTTGATAAGAAATACAAATAGCATAAATATGCATTATACAGATATTTGCACAAGAAGAACTGTTTGTATCTGATCCGCTCCCCGATATATATTGTGAATCTTAGGTCTACCTTAAATGTTCATTCTCCTATATACGGAGTATATAACTAAATACTACGTATATAAAGATTAATTAATAAGTTGCCTCATTTCAGGAGATTGGTTCTATCCCAAAAAAGATTTGTCATATTGACATTTCTTTGTGAATGACGATAAACTGTGGACAATGGTTTCAATATCCATATTTGTAAATAATTTATAAACTTTATACTTTTACAAAAACATTTTTAATATAGAATATTTAATATATTTTTCATATTCAAAATAATTCCATACTAAAAATAGCATTGATCAAAGTTGTCTATAATTGAGTCAATTGACCATGAAAAGTAAATTTGATAAACCCTTTCTACTTTCTAGATAACTAAATAATACTCCTCCGTTCCATTTAAAGGTTCTCACTTTTCTTTTTTGGACGTCCCTGTTAAAGGTTCTCACTTTCTATTTTAGGAAACAATTAACAATCTTAAATGTCAATTTATTCATCAAATACTAAAAAAATACATTTATAAAATCACAATTATCATCAATAACCCATTATATTATATACTCATAAAATTTGTTTCTCAAAATACTTCGTTCATCCCTTATAACTTTGTCTGCTTTTCTTTTTTGGTTGTCTCACTAGATAAATTTGCTATTTTTTCTTTTAAGTAATATAAATAGTTTATGGTTCAAGTTCATTCTCTCTCCTATGCACAAACTTCAACCATACAATTTTTATTTAATTATTTCCCGTGTTGATCAAATTTTACAAAATTATTAGGAACAAAGAGAGCACTAATTATTACCGGTAGTCGGTAATAAATAAGTTACCTCATTTGAGGAGGCCTTTTTGGCCATAAGTTGTAGACCTGAGTGACTTGATGAGCAGAAGCGGCGCCGGAATGAGAATTGGGGCGTGGGGGACGAGGCAGGAGGTACGGAGTGTCGACGGCGAACTCAAAAACCTCTTTCCAGTCCCTCACGTTCACGGTGTGCTCCGCGTCGTGGTACCCATGCACATTCTCCTCGTCCCTCCTCACCTCCCTCTTCTCCTCCCTACTCAGCTCCCCGAAAAACCTCCTCGCCACCTCCATCATCTCTCGCAGCTTCTCTTGGTCAACGCCGTGGTTGACCACCTGGAAAAACCCCCACACCCTGCACGCATTGCCTATCTGCGAAACAACCTCGTCGGTTTCGCTGTTCAGGGACAGGTCGATCAAGGGTATGCCCTCGGCTTCTGCTTCTGACAGCTTCGGCCTATTCTCAACGGGCTGGACGAACCCATTCCGTTCCATGTCTTCCCAAACGGATGGTTTCGGCGCCGAGAACATTTTCCCGGCCGGCGGCAGGTGATGGGGGGCGACGGTGGTTTTTTCCGATATCATTCCCGGTTCCATGGCGACCTATATATCGATCGCTGGATCGGATGGTATTGATTACGTACGGCTTGCTTGAAGAAAAAAGAGTAAATATATATATGATGATAGAGGAAACTAGCTAGCTCGCTAAGGCTTGTTTTAAAACCTCAAGCCTTTGGAGGTATTTATAGATCTGAATAGCCCTGTTTTAGCGAGTTAACGTACTGTATGTTCAGAATACTCGGTGTATAGTAGTTGTAAACTTGTAATTGCCTAATAAAGAAAGTCTGCCCGCAGACATTAAAGTGAATGAATACATTATTGTAAAGAAATTGTCATAAATAAGACTAAAATATAAAGAAATTAGCCATAATAGGACTTACCAAATTCCCCTTAATAGGACTGTTGAGATTAGTAATCCTAATTCTCTAATTATTTCCTAGTTTTACAATTTTAGATAGGATGACAAAGCAATCAATTTTTGTATTATGCTGTTGGGTTGAGCCTAGAGCTGTTATGTTCTTTTCCCTCTTTTACGTGTTGGGCTATTTTTGATTAGTTGGACCTTTTGGTAAATGGAAGGACCGGTTTTATACTGTGTGGACCCTAAGTATATATACCACTTTCGTCTCCAGAGTCTTCGACTAATTCATTCCGAGCTATTTTCGTTAAAACCCTAGATAGAGAGAGAGAGAGACTGTTCTACAGCGAGATAGTGCTGTTTCCGCTGCTGGTTTTCTGCGCGAGAGCCTGAAGCTTTGCAAGGACGGTAACAGAAAGAGGAGATTGCCTTAAATCTGAGGAATAGGAGGAGAGCTTGATACGTGATCCAGAGCAGGGAGCACGTCAGTCATCTTCCGAAGTCTTAGGATTTCGTTTGGTTATCTCTGAACCTTTTTCAGTTATTTGTTTCTTAATTGATATCCCTGACCGATTGCATGTACTGTATATTGATTGCTTTGCAACCATCTTGATTGTAATCTGTTTGAATTCTGAGCTAGTGGAATATTTGGGACTGGGTTTCCCCTGTTGAAACCCCGTAGATTAGGGAGGTTTCCTTCTGAGTTGCGTCAACATATCGTGTCTCTTTTACTTTTCTTGTTGCGTTGATTGCATGTGTTAAGTTTAAGATCTGATCTGTTTGACTGTTGACTTTGATTAGTTTGCAAACAAGGACTTATATGGTCCTATTTTGCCTTTTACTACTTTAGACAATCTCCTAAATACCCTTGTTCGAATTTGTGATATTATTAACGAAGTTACCGGTCTTTTTCGGTTATCCAGTTTCAAACCGTTAAGGAGTTTTGTTTCTCAAATTCGTTTCCTTGTTCAGATTGAGTATCGCTATTAGTTTCCTTAGTTTGTTGGATATCATTCAACCTAACTGTTGGGTGTGTTTCGGAAAAATGAAGAACTATTAATTAATAAAAATAATTAATTAATTAATAACATAGCTAAAGAAAAATAGAAATAAGATGGAGCAGATTTTAGCCAGAGCTCGTGCTACGCACGATGTCCTTAAAACGTATTCGTCGCCTCCCACGGTGCTAGGAGCGTTGCAACGACCGTTTCTCAGGATACGGTGGCTAACGAACGATCATTTGAGCACACAAACAAATGTCCCGGAGAACTGGAACAATAGCAGAACACTAGGGAAATTTTGGAGTAGCTGGAAGTGTTTTTAGCTCAAGAAAACGTGAGGAATGTATTGTGCGTTGTGTTGTTGCAAACCACCTGCCAGCTATTTATAGGAGGATTTGTTGTGTGTAGTTTTAATAGACCTGAACGTTGGACATCAATGACCAGTCCGTTGGGCATTAAATAGTCCATAAACTGTCCATTTAACGCAGCATTAAAAGACACGAACGTTGGGCATTTATTGCTGTAACGGATCAGAAGGCCTTCTGTTGCGAACAGAAGACCTCGAGCGTCTCTGTTGCGAACAGAAGACCTCGAGGGTTTCTATTGAGCCTTTCTGTTGCGGGAAGAAACCAAATCTTGGAATGATAAATTTTTCGGACGGCATTCGTGTCCGCAGGTCGCCCGCGCACACGAGTCGCAGTTTATATTCTCCTTTTTGGGATTTGATCGGCACCCCCCCTGCGCGTAAGAGAGAGCCTTTACCTTTAGAAATCTTAACTCCTTAAAAGAGGCTTCTCTTTATAAGGGGCTGAAAATCCCTTGAGTTTTCCGGTGTGGGATAAAACACACTAGAAACCCATCATTTTCCCAGTTTTTCCATTTCAACGAGTGAACTTCGAGAATCAATTTCTCATTCACCCGTTATTCGTTTTGAGTGTACCACATATCGAATTGTAGCCCTTAACAAGGACAATCCAAAACCACTTTGACCTGACCCAAATCGGAAGTGGACCCGACTCAAATAATTGCCCCAAAATGACCATTTAATGCAATTTTTAACACATTTTTCCAACAATCCCTCACATGAATGAAAATTGATTTTCGAGACTTAAAAAGACACGAAGATAGGAGGACACGTTGTGTTCACCGGATGATCCTTGCATACGGAGAGGTAGGTTTTATCCTTTGAACCTTCCGTTGTAAAGTCACGTTTATTTACTGGCTATCTAGTAGACTCGATGTCCTTGAACTATACTGCCGTCGTGTAAACATTGACTTATCTTTACACAAGAACCTTCCAACTTTGTTCCGTTCTCATGGGTGTGCCCGTTTTGGCCATGGGTCACCATCCTGGTTCTCCAAGAGTTTCTAAAGAACTGAGCCTTTACAGTTCTCCTTTGAAACAGCCTTCTTATCTCTCACATAGGTGATTCTTTCACGAGTATCCCACATACTCTTCCAATGTTATCGAGTAGATCAACATTTTAGAATCATTAAAGCAAACATTTTTGCTAACCTCGTGCGGGAGTCACTATTTTAACGAGGAGTGGGTAGAAGTCCGGGATCCCCACAGTTGCTAACCTCGTGCGGGACTTCCCTTTATAAGGGGGTGAAAATCCCTTGAGTTTTCTGGTGTGGGATAAAACACACTAGAAACCCATCATTTTCCCAGTTTTTCCATTTCAACGGGTGAACTTCGAGAATCAATTTCTCATTCACCCGTTATCCGTTTTGAGTGTACCACATATCGAATTGTAGCCCTTAACAAGGACAATCCGAAACCACTTTGACCCGACCCAAATCGGAAGTGGACCCCACTCATACACCCATTAATCATTCGTTTTTTTCCTGCATTCTTCTGCCATGGATTTCTCTTGGAGTACTTTTACCTCATAGCTGCCTCAGTGTTTCGTTCTTTGCAGAGTACGTTTACTTCGAATTTCATGCTTTCGTAATAACTTGTTATGGCCATGATTCTATTTTCGTTCGTCAATTCTTCTTCAATCGTTGTTAAATTGAATTCGCAATTACTTGTAATTTGTTTCGACAATATTTCAGTTGTATACATATAAATATGCATCTGCGTTCTGTTTTTTCTCCAAGCTCTGTTTTATTCTTCAATTTCATATTAGCAAACCTTTCATCATGTGATCGATTTGAAATTCATTATAATCAACAATTTACTTCGTATGTAGTATGTAGTTGTACTCGTTTTATTTCATTAAATTACATTGATTAGTTTAGATATCAGTTTGTATCTAGAATTTATTTCGTTTTTGTTAAATTATCTATGCTTGTACCTAAATTACGCTCTTCGAACTGCCATTTAGTTTGTCTTACCTGTCATGTATATGCATTTTTTGATTTCTCTGTTTTATGTTCTGTAATTGTAAATAATTGGTACACATCCTTATAAACTGTCATATTGTTAACAAAACTGTCATGATTTTGTTCGAACTGTCTGTTTTCTAGATTTTGTCATACTTAAATATTTCTTTTGCTGCATTTTTTAGGAACCTTTTTACCACAATGGATCCTATTTTACTTGTTATGGTCAAGGTGGACGGTTTTTGGAATTCTAACAACTTGTTCAACAATGTCCACACATGTGGCCTTAATGTTAACTATGGTGTTCAATATGCTTCTGTTATTAACTCTTTGAGTGACATACTTTCTCAGTACAAATCTAATCATAATTTCAGGCTTTCTTGTATGCGAGATAGATTCCCTCCTCCTGTTACTATAAATGATCAATCTACCTTAACATTTTATCTTTATATCAAGTCTCTTCAACCAGGTTTTTCAATGTATCCACTTTGTGTTGAGTTTTATCCTATTTCATCTTCACCTGCATTTTCTATTGATGTTGGACCATCTGCTTCTCCTTGGTCTGGAAATGTTGTCATTGTTTCACAGCAACATACCCCTTATGAGAATGTTGTTGTTTCTTCTTCCCATGCTTCACAACAACATATCACTTATGAGAATGTTGTTGTTTCTTCTGCCCAACAACATCCCTCCTCACCTGCACTTTCTTTTGATGATGGTTCACCATTTGGCCAATATGAAAATGTTATGCTATCTGGGGTAAGTTGTGGCCAATCTGAAGATATTGTTTCTTGTAGTAACACTGTGTCTGCAACTGTAGAAAATGAATCATCTGAAGACAGTGATGACATGTCAGATGGCCTTTTAACTAAATCATCTGACTCATTCTCATTTCTCCAAAATTTTGAAATCATCACACAGTCCCATCCTACGTGTATTCTTCTCCATGCTATTTACAAAAATAAAAAAGAATTTATCCACCATCTGAAGATGTATGCTATCACAAACCACTTCCAATACAGAACTAAGACATCGAAGAAAATATCTTTGCATGTTATTTGTTTGGATCCAAAGTGTCGTTGGAGTGTTCGAGATGTAAAACTACATGACGTAACAATGTTTCAAATTAGAAGGTAACTTCAATTTTCCTTCTTTAATTCACTTCATTGTAAATTCTGGTTTATAAGAATGGCATGTTGTGGTGACATTTTTATACAGGACTATCAACTTTATATTATGTATTCAGGATGACCTTCTGTCAATCATTCAAGCATATCTTTTCATAGAAACATCCAAAGCACACGATTCAAGTTCCATATGAAGTCCAACTTCAAGGGCTATAAATCATATCAAGACACTATTTCGAGAATCTGAGAGGAGAAGGTGAACAGACGAAGAAGTCAGATGATCGCTGTTGCGATTTCAGAATGCGACCTTGCACCATTTTATTCATATCTTTTGATTGG